GGCCGAGCCGCCTTTTCTCCCCGGCGCGATCAAACGCCGGAGAGAAAAGACGGCTCTAACCGGGAGCCGGCCGATCTGCGCATGTCGGAGCATGCGCAGTTCGGCTCCGGCCCGGGCTTGAGCCGGCGCAAGGGAGCGCCGGCGATCAGACGCCCGGGAAGAAGCGCCTCATCCGTTGGAACCACCGAGGTAGGTGGTTCAGTTTGAGGCGGTTCTTCCCGGGTTTGGGCCAGTTTGGAGGCGGAAGCAGAACGCTTCCCAGATGTTGTGGTGTGATCGCGCTGCTTTGATCCGCCTCCAAACTGTCCCGTTCCCGGGCCAAATCGCCTCGTGTGAACGGGGCCTGAAAGTGTCTGATCCCAGACTGGCTCCTCTTATTAAAAGAAGCAGACCCATGTATCATAGTTAACACTAAAGACAGCTGTGACAGACTGTCAAGGGTTAATGCCTCACAGAGTCTGGGAACCTTTGAATGGCAGGCTGCTCAAACAGAATTCTATGGAGAGAGTCAGTTACAAAATGATGCTTGGGAACTGGCAGTTGAAGAAAAAACAGTTAAGTTCTGACTGCAGACTGCAAAAGAGACTGAAGGAGTGAGTGGATCACAGTGGATCCCCATTCAAGCTGAAAAGGGACAGAACTTCTAGTCAAGAGAAGTACTTCTTGCCCCATAGCTCTAAAATGAGGAATGATCCCTGGTCTGTTTATAGAGAAGGATTTTGGGTACTTGGTTGTATGTTCCTACCATCTAAACCTTAAGAGTCAGTGAAACTGAGGAACCTATGCTCAAGTGTTTAAGCAGAAACTTCTTCTCTCTTCAGAGTTTCATTGTAGAAAAGCAAAAACACTTACTTGTTGGCAACATGTTACCTGGATTTAGTGGTATTGCAAAGTTACCTCAGTTTTTATTATTCGTTCACCTCATACATTCTTCCCCTGATTCCACCTGACCTTTTCTCCTCTAAGTAAATAAAACATTTTGTTTATTTTGAACTTTTAAAAGCTTCTCATGTGCCATTTCAGAAGTTGAATATAAGAAACTGATTTTGTCAAGGAGGATTTTGTCAAGGAGGTTCCTCATTCCAGCCGAAAAAGGGAAATAACTTCTAGTAAAGAGGAGTGATCCCTGGTTTGTGTATAAAGAAGGATTTTGGGAACTTGATTGTATGTTCCTGCCTTCTGACCTTTACATATCAGTGAAACTCAGAAACCTATGTTTGAGTATTTAAGAAGAAATTGAAAAGAAAGCCTTTCTCCTTAAAGTTTTAAAGACCTTGTTGAATAGCAGAAACACTTACTTGTTGGCAACAAATTATCTGGTGTTTGTGCAAATGCAAAGTTACCTCTGTTTCTATTCACCTCAGACATCCTACACCTGATTCCACCTGACCTTTCCTCCTCCAAGTTATAAAAAACATTTTGTTTATTTTGAACTTTCAAAAGTCTCTTGTGCCATTTCAGAAGTTGAAAATAAGAAGGCGATTCTGCCTCTTCCCTCAGTTCCCTGGCCTGAACCAACATCAAAATATATGTATTAAAGCAACTGGGTGGGACAGCCATAGACAAATAAGAAGAAAATAGATATAGGGGCTGCTCAGCAAGAAAGAAGGAGAAAACGGGTTAATTTCCATGCATGAGGGAGGGAAGAGGGTGAGATCACCATAACAGCATTATAAGGAACTCTTCTAAAAATACGCAGCACATCAGCATGGAACCAGTCTGCGGGTAAATAACAACGGGTTGAATCCTATGACTTCGTCCCATCAAGTCTTCTTCTCTTGGAGGAAGTAATTCTCCACTGAAGGAGAAGGACTGAACCAACTGACTGTAAACATCCTGGAAACTACCGTCAAAGCATTGCTTGTCAATAGCTCCCCTCATAATTCTGGATGGCAGATTCATACCAGACTCTTAAAATCAAACATGATTTCCCAAGGTGCCATAAAGTAGACATTTACCCTAATTAAAACTACACAGTATATTGGAGAACTAGGACTGGAATTCTTGCATTCTTTGAGTCCAAAAAGCAGCCCCTCTTCATATTGAAGCCATGGTACTAGGCAAGGTGGAGTGAACTTTCTCCTCCCTACCATTTTCCTGATTGAAAATCCATGAGCTCTGGCAAACAAAAAGGTGGATATCAGTATTTTTTCTTTCTTTTCCAGAGATCATTGCAGGAAAACAGACTGGGAAGACTTATACTCTCCTTGTCCAGCATCATAGTTAGAATCCAAATTTGGCCACAGTAGGCAGCTTTTTATGTACAACTTTTCAGGAGATCTAGTCATGGATCTCTAACATTAACATGAAGTTTTCCCCCAATGGGGCTTTTCATTTGTCATTTAGAAGTATAGTTAAATATCATTTCTTCTCATCTCTTCCACCCCCAATGAACATATTCTAATTTTGAAATATCTTCCTACATAAAAAAGGAATGTTTAGAGAGACTGATCACGTATATAGGCTTCATTTTTAAAAAGGTCATACCTGCCAAGTAGGTTTGTTCATGTAGTTCTGTGATGCTTAATAATTCTGCATTCTGTTGCTGACAGCTTTTTCTTGCTTGGAGCCAGGTAAGAGCTGAGTCAGAATTTATCTGGTATTGGTTTCCAGTCCAATGATTTCTAATCCAAAAGTGTTCATTGTCATCTGTAAATATTGTTTAATAATACTATTATCAATCCATCTCAGAATCTTGAAGAAAAATCTTTCAACTTGTCTGAGAGGTGGCTGAAGTGAGAGAGCTGGCACGTGAACTAAACCTTTTGTCAGGGAGAAGCTGGGCTGTGGGGATTGGAATCCTGAGGTAAAAGTTAAAGAAGGGACATTGAGGAGTGGCTACCAGTTCAAGAAAATTCACCTGGTCTCTCTGATAGCAGTATCCCATGGTAAATCCAAGTCCACAAGGATTTGATCATATTGATAATTTAAATACAACTTTTCTAAGTGATATTCTAAGCATGTGTCCATGGTACAAAGAAGAATTTTAACTGATCATAATTGATATTACCTATAAAGCCCTTTATGGTCAGGGTCCAGCCTACCTGAGGGACCGCCTTACCTCACATGTTCCCCCAAGAGCACTTCGGTCGGGGCCCCAAAATCTATTGGTTATACCGGGCCCCAAGGATGTCAAACTGGCTGGGACCAGGGCTTGGGCTTTTTCAGTGGCGGCTCCTACCCGGTGGAATTGGGTCCCGGGGGGGGTTTGGGCCCTGCGGGACCTTGAGCAGTTCCGCAGGGCCTGCAAGATGGAGCTCTTCCGCCAGGCTTTTGAGTAGGAGCCACCACCCTACTATACCACCACCGTCAAGACATCTGAATGGAGGCATTGACAAGGCCCTAGGAAGAACTTGGAATTACATCGGAAAGGCCGTCGCCACTGGATATGTACGCTGAGAATACCAGCTCCAGTCGTGGGGATACCATCTTGGATCTAGGACACTAGTAACTGGATAGAGCACTTTAGTCTTGATGTTTTGATGTTTTTATTATGTTTTTATATGTTTTTATTTATGGCTAGACTAATGATCTGGCCTCTGTTAGCCGCCCTGAGCCCACTGGGGAGGGCGGGATATAAGTGTAAAAATAAATAAATAAATAAATAAAACTGGAGATCTTTTCCTATCTCTCTACAAGTTATTAGGTAGAATTCCACATGTGACTGACATAATCCCTGAAAAATTATCCAAACTCGATGGGGAAAGTTTTAGCCAATAGCTGTTTTCAGTTAATGTTTTTTACCAAAATGGGGAAAACAATGTAAATAAGGGAAAAAATACACATTTTAACAAAGATAATAAATTACTTTTTAACATTAAAATGGATGAAAAACAAACTGGAAAAAATTGTGCACACCCCTAGTTTCTTGTACCTGGAAAGGTGATTTCACTTTCACCCTTGCAACTGAGTGTCATCATGTATCCCCTATCTGAGGCTCTTACACCTTCCTCTCTGTCTTACAGCAGTGAGAAAACCTGGAGACCCAAGGCAATCAGTGTAAGAAATGCACAGCTTGCTGATGGACCAGTCCAACTGCTACCAGTTGAGGAGAAACATGGTATGAAATGAATACATAAAATACATGTGGGTCTGAGAGGGATCTTTGCCAGAGGAATATTGTACATAATTTTATTTATTTATTTATTTATTAAATGTATACCCTCCCCTACTATTAAAATGGGCTCAGGGCAGCTCACAACATAAAACCAAGGAATAGTAAAAGCAATGAAACAATAAATAGCAATAGCAGATAAAATCAGGACCCATGCCTTATGAAATAATTACCCTAAGAAATTCCACTACCCAAGTAATATCCAAGACAGTAGGGCACTGGAAAGAGGTCATGAACAGTGCAATGGACATCAGGATGGAGTCAACCCAATTTAATTTTATTTTGCTATGTAAGTTATTGATTTATTGAACCATGAGGAAAATCAGGATATAAATGTTTCCATAAATAACTTTAATAAATCAATACATTTTTATTATATGTCTACCACTTCTTCAGACTTCTGCTCAAAGTAGCCAACAATTAAAATAGGATCAGAAGCATGCCATTTTAAAAGGCACGAAGGTAAAACCCCTAATTAGAGGTCTGAGGAGGAGGAGTAAAGTTTAGCATATGGCCAAAGGCTGTTACAATCTTAAACTAAAAAAAAAATACATTAACTACTAATATTAACCAAAAAACAATCCAGGAACAATAATGGTAAAAGCTGATTTAAAAGATTATTGTTATAATTTCAAGACTTATAATTGTGCCAAATTAAATGTCAAGCACAGCTTTGGCATGGATTTTTGTGGTAGTCAGAACCATGTAAGTGACATATTGATCAGTGTCAGATAAAAGATAAATTATTTTCTCCTCCACTAAACATGGATTTAGGCAAGTCAAGATATTTGCAAGGAATTTGGCTTCAGGTTCCTGATAAAGGGGACAGGACAAGATGTAATGGGGGAGCAGCAGAAGAACTGGAGGAGGAAGCTGGAAACAGCCAGGTCCTTGCGGGCTGGATTGGAGCCCTCTGAGAGCCGGATGCAGCCCATGGACTGCATGTTTAATAGCCCTGCCTTAATACATTGATAGCTGCACATTTTTGTAAAGCTAGAATTCCAATCCATCGCATCTGTATTAGCTGGCTTTAGTTTCAAACTGTTAAAACTCATCCATCCAACTACCATTGCCAAGCACTAGATTAGGACTGACATAATTTGGGAAGAATGAATTGAAGACCCAGCTGTGACACAGGCAGGCATTAAATGAGGTTTTTCCATATATTGCACTCCATACCTGATTTATTTAAAATAATTATACTGAATGGTTAGATGTATAAAATAAACCATAGGCATGAGAATTATAAACTGTAGCGTGACTGTATATAGCATGGAGAATATATAGATCCTTGATTGCTTTCTCATTTCTCAGTCCATTAAAGACAACCACTTTTGCTTAGCCAGCTATGTTCTGACACATCTTATCCCCTTACCTATTTTGCTACATCCGGTTTTGCACTTTAACGGAATTTAGCATGCCTGCAATCTGCTTGCCTAAGCAGCACTCATATGCAGTTGTAAGAAAGAAAATGGTGTTAGTCTTGCTAGCTTGCCCCCCACTGATGCAGAGCTGTTCCTTTTTAAGCCCAATGAAACCAGTAGGCTTAGAAAAGTGGAGTAACTCTACATAGAATAGCAACATTAGAAAAGAACAAATAAATCTGATTTCTGTTCATACTATTCTGATCACCAGTTTTTAGCTGAATTGCACTCCTGAGGCAACAGAACCTCATCCATGGAATTCATATGGGAGAGTAAAACCTCATCTGATCTCCTCCAGAAAAAGAGGAAGGCCTGTGTGCTTGTGGTACGCTGCCTGAGTACAACTGCTTACATGGAAAGGAAGTCTTGTTATTTTTATACTGAAACCCTTTGTCCGAAATTAGCAATCTGTCTTATGTTTACAACCAATGAAAACTATAAACAGAGAGATTCACTTAACCAGTTGACAACCAGATCCTATTAACATAGGTAGCTGGGCTTAGATGTAACTCTGCAGGGGGTTCTACGCATGTGCTGAGGAAGCCGGTTGCTTGCCTGACCTCTCCTTTGAATAATTATTTTAAAAGCTCAAAAAGAACATGTTTAGTCTGCCCTCAAGGACAACTAAAAGGAGAAACCGACGTACGAACATCTGGGGAACACAAGGAATTCCACTCTGAAGCTTCAGAGGGTAAGATAGCAATTATTTATTACTGTTTTAGGGAGGCAATGCCCAGGCCAAACTCCCAGCCCTTATCTGCTTCACAGGAAGATAATAAGAGCAATGGCAAAAAATATAAAAGAACTCTCCGAGCAGATGTCTGCATTCCAGAATATGATGATAACCTCTCAGGAGCAGATAAAAGCGGAGATTAAGACAGTATAAGAAGCAGCTTCAGAACTGGCAGCTGAACTTAAAGAGACAAAACAGAGGGCGATTGCAGCATCTGAGCTTGCTACAAAAAACAAACAGATGATTAAACAGTTAAACACCCAGCTTATGGAGTTATCAGACAGGAACAGAAGAGCAAACCTTGTTTTCGCAGGGATTTCAGAAGAGATAAATAATATGCTCCTAGAAGAAACACTTAGACCATGGATAAAAGAAAATGGGGTTCAGGTGCAATCCCAAGACATTGACAGAGCCCATAGACTGCAAAGGAGAAAGGAAGGAGGAGCCCCAAGGGACGTTATAATTAAATTCACAAGAGAAAAGCTACAGCAGGAAGTATTTAAGACTTTGAAAAAGAAGAAGGACCTGACCCTCAGAGGGAGAAAGGTCTGGGTTAGAGAGGACTTTTGCCAAGAAACTATCAAGAAGAAAAACCAAATGAGACCTTATGGGCAAAATCTATATGAAAATAATGTGAAATTCTCATGGGGGTATCCAGCTTCAATATTAATATTTAAAGAAGGCAAGAGGCTGACAGCACAAAACCCTAAGGAAGCAAGGGAACTCTTCAGGCAACTGGGTATCGATACAGAAGACCTGAGAGAACAGAGAGAGGAGGAAGTTATGGAGAATGCGGACGACCCGGGAGAAGGCCTTTCAAACAGATGTGATAAAAGACCAAGGACAGACTCGCAAGAAGATACTACATAAAGGGAAGTATATAAAAGTTTATTGAGCTAGCTTTAAGAATAAGAAGGAAGGGGAGGTTTGGGATGCGTACACTCTGGAAAGTGGGAAAACAGGATGAGGCCTTCATCCAAATTGTTGCCTAAACTACAGGGGAAGGGAGGGGGGAGGACTTCATTTAATAAATAAAGTAAAGTACCCACACCCAGGGAGGACTAAAATTCAAAAAATAAAGAAAATGGGTAGGTCCTTAAGAGTCCTTTCACTGAATGTAAACGGTCTTACCTCCAACCTTAAGAGATTTAGATTAACTAAAATGGCCAGAGAACAAAGGATAGACTTGATGTGTCTACAGGAAACACACACACACACAAGATAGAGAACCATTAATAAAAGACCCGAAGTGGCAGGTTTTAGCAGAAGCAAGAGGGAACTCTAAGGCCAGGGGAGTAGCAACCTTGATCCATAAGAACTTTAAAGTGGAGGATATCAAAAGGTTAGCAGACAAGGAGGGCAGATACCTATTGGTCAAGTTTAAACTGGAAGGCAAACGAATTACTATAGTGAACATTTATGCACCAAACAAAAAGGAAAAGAAATTTCTAACTAAGGTTTTTAAGAAGATTCAACAGTTCTCATAGGGAGAATTAATTGTAGCAGGGGATCTAAATATTGACATAACAAAGAATAAAAGCATTAAGCTAGGAGACTGGGGCCTGAAAGAAGCATATGAGTTTATAGGAACAAGACCTAGACCTACGCATATATCCAGCAGGTATAAAACAGCGTCATGCATAGATTATATAATTTTTTGGGGGAAAAATATGTCCATAAAAGAGATTACAACCCTTCCAATTTGGATATCTGACCATGCCCCTATAAGTATTGAATTGGAATTAAATTTACCCACAACAAACAGACCTTGGAGATATAATAATTTAATAATGGCAAAAGAAGAAGATAGGGAATATATGACATCACAGATACAACTATACTTCAAGGAAAACAGAGGAACGGTGCCTACCAATATACTATGGGATGCCGCTAAAGCAGTAATAAGGGGCCATTGCATAAAAAAAGAAAAGAACATAAAAAGAGAATGGTATAAAAAAGACAAAATAAAATAAAGGAATTAGAGAAGCTACAAAGGGAACTAATGGAAAACTATAGCCCCACTTTACAGAGCAAAATCAAAGAGATTCAAAAACAATTAGAAGCATTAGACATAGCAACATTGTGGGAAAAGGAAATTATGGTAAGGAACGAATTCCAGAGGAACAGCATTAACACAGCGAAAAAGCTATCTGAAGATTAAAAAAGCAAAACAGACAGTTAGATCTATAAAAATTAATAACAACACAACACAAAGTCCCAAGGAAATTATTAAGCTTTTGAGAACTTTTATAAAAACTTATATAAGAA